TTTCCTCATTTCATCATGATGTCTAGCTGAGTTTTCTTGTATCTCATTCAGTTTCCTTAGAATTATCACTCGAAATTCCTTGTCAGTCATTTCAAGGGCTTCTTGTTCTATAGCATCTAGAGCTTGAGATTTATTATCTTTTGGTGGTGTACTTTCTTGATTTTTCGTATTTCTGGTATCTTTTCTTTGATGTCTGTTCATTGTGGCAGGGGGTTTCACAGTCCACAGATCAGATGAAATGAGCAGATTATCTTCTGTTCCACTGGGCAGTCTAATGAACAGAGGAGGCAGACTCAGAGGAGAATTGGGGGCAGCGCGCGGAGTCCCCGGTCCGAGTGCGGCCGCCGCCCGTCAGCTCCAGCTCGGCTCCTAGCCTTTTATTTTTTCAGAGATTTATCCATCTTTTCTTGCTCTTGGAAATGCACAGTGCACTCTTACAGCTTAGCTCCTCCACCGAGCCGCTCCCCTCGCAGGTCTCCTCCTTTGGCAGCCGCCACCGCCACCACTGCCGCAGCTTCATCGCCCCACACTCCAGTGCGAACAGGGACCGAGCAGGCTCTGGTGTGCCCGCCAGCCCCGCCGCGTCTGGGAGACTTGCCGCAATGCAGTTATGTTTGAAAACAGCATAAAATGTTTAAAAAGTCACTAAAGTGCATGTGTATAGAAAAGAAAATCTGTGAGAGGATCAATGAGAAATTTGACAGAAGTCCTTTTTGCAGTCTTTTCATTCTATTCCTTTCTGTACTGTTTGAATTTCTCATGACAAACACGTATAATTTTTAAAAATGTAGCGGATCTCTTGTTACTGATATGGAAAGATAGCCTCAAGAGTACATGAAATGAAAAATGCAGGTTATAAGAGAATTTATATATCCTGGTTTCATTTGTGTAAAAAAATCATATACAGTCATCCCTGGGTATGTGTGGGGGATTGGTTCCAGAACTTCACTTGGATACCAAAATCCGAGGATGCTCAAGTCCCCAATATAAAATGGCATAGTATTTACATATAACCTATGCACATCTTCTAGTATACTTTAAATCATCTCTAAATTACTTATAATGCTAACACAATGTAAATGGTATGTAAATAGTTGTTATACTGTTTAGGGAATAATGACAAGAAAAAAAAGGCTGTACCTGTTCAGTACAGACACAATTTTTAAAAAAATTTTTTGATCCATGGTTGAATCCACAGATGTGGAACCCATGAATACAAAGTGTCAACCGTATTTTTATAGCTGTATTTAAATTATCAGAAAGAAATGTACCTAATCAATAAGCAATACAGAATTTTCTACTTCACATATTCATATGTTGTTTGATCTTTTAAAATAAAACTATTACTTTTATAATAAAAAAAGATTTCATTTTGGGTAAAAAATAACTGGAAAACTAAAGAAGGGAGAGTATTATGAACCACTCTAGCTCTAAACCAGTGCCAGAACTATGTTAGCTTGCCAGACGACAAATGGAATCAACTTGAATCCAGATGTACACTGAGTAAACTTCTGGTAAAATTACTAATAATTCAAGGGAGAAAAACTGTATAAAACGTTGTAAGAAAAATGGTCTCTGGATGATACTAAGGGGGGTAGGCAAAATACAGCCTTATATAATAAAGTTTAAGAACTGAAATTTTTTGATATTATACAACTAGTGATATCTAAATTTAGCAAGGTATTATTTACAGAAAATTGGAGCATCAAAGGAGAAGATGGAGTCTCAACACGCATCTTACCAGAGGTTATATTAATATTTCCTGCTTCGATTCCTGCTTTAAGTCCTTCTTTTCCCAAAATCCCAGACTCTCCTTTGGCCAGACGCTCCCTCTCCTTCTCTTCCAAACTTCCATAGTAGATGTGTGGTTTCTTCACGACAGGAGCAACTAAGTCATCAGGTGCTTTACTTTTGGTTGCCTGCTAAATCAAAGACCTAGATTAATCTAAGGTTTCACCTTAGTAATTTACCGGGTTTCCCCAAAGGATGCAGCTCATCCTGAACTTCAATCCTATTTCCTTCCCAAACGAAAGGACAAGTTGGATACCAGTTAAGATGTTTCTCACTGATTTGCGTGCTGGGGGTGGGAGGAGGGTGTTTCAGTCCCTCAATCGCTTAAGTTTGGCAGATAGGAAGAAGATGATAAAGCTAGTGAATTTTTCTATCAAAAGTTTGCTTTGGGGCCGGCCCCGTGGCTCACTCAGGAGAGTGCGGCCCTGGTAGCACGGAGGCCGCGGGTTCGGATCCTATATAGGGATGGCCGGTGCACTCACTGGCTGAGCATGGTGCAGACAACACCGTGCTGAGGGTTGCGATCCCCTTACCGGTCCAAAAAAAAAAAAAAGTTTGCTTTGGAACATGTTTACTTCATTCTGTTGGAAGTGCAATCTCTTCTTGGGTTTTATGATACTTCCAGGGTAACTGCTCATCCCTGGGGAAATAGCAAAGATAACTGAAATAATCAAGGCGGTGCTAAGTAGGAACAAGTTACAACGTTACTGGTCTGTCCATTTCAAACGTCTTCTGACCTGAGGCAGTAGATTAGGAGTTAACGGAAGGGAAGCCTCATTACAATTCTGAAATCTGACAAAAGACATAAATCTTGACTAATCTAAGACACTTCCCCATTCTAGAGTACCGTTTTTGGACCGGTCAGAAGATGTGTTTACCACTCGGGGCTGCAGTGAGAGAGGTGAAAATGAGCTACAGCATTTGAAAGCGCTTAGGGATCAAGAAAACGGTGCTCGGCTCTCCGGGACACGACTGAGTCCCGCAGCCCTCCCCCTCAGCCGTCCGCCGCCTTAGCCCGTTTCCTAACGGCCCCTTCCCGCAGGGACCCCCCACCCCCTCCGCGCTCCCTGCAGTGAGCTGAGATCCCGAGCTCTGTACCGTGGAGGAGGTTCGAGAGGAAGCCATGCTGGGCACCGGAGCCAAAAAGGGCCAGCGAAAGCGGTAATCTACGTTTCAGACAGCCCACCGCGCGCCCAGCAAAGCGGAACTACGTCACCGACCGGAAGTGGGCAGAGAGCCGACGCCGCGCCCCGGGCGGCGCGGAGCACGATGGGAGTCGTAGTAGGAAAGGTTCTGGTTGTGTCGAGGAGCATGACACGTAGATCCTCCAAGAACAGCTCACAGAAGACGAGGTTCTGCGGGCAGGGGCTCAGAGCAGTCTGGGAAGTGTAGTCCAGTTGGCTTCGTAGTAGCTTCGTGGTGGGAGCCGAGGTCCCGGGGAAGGGGCTGAGCGGGCTGGAAGAGAGGTAGGTGCGAGTCGCGCGGCTCGGGGCTGAACTCGAGGCCTTACGGGGCCTGCCGTCCCTCCCGTGCCTAAGGGAGGCCTCACGTCGTCCAGGAGCTGAGGGCCATGTTGCCACGGAAACCCTCGCCCGGGATCCAGGAGTGCCTCCTGTAGCTGGGGGAGGAGGGCTGTTCTCCTTCGCGGTGGGGAAGTCCTCCCAGGGGCTCCCCTCTGAGCTGGATGAATTTGCAGTAAATTTGGACAGCGGCGAGAGATTAAGCTCCAAGAGCTTTCTAGCGCCAAAGTGAAAGATCTGGCGGAGGAGCTACGGCCTGATTTTGTTAATTTGGTTTTGTTGTCTCTAGTCGGGTCTTTGTTTCAGATTGAGAGATTATGAATGGGAAGGCGTCAGGTAAACTGTACCTAAGCAACCCTCTGCATTGCCCTATGCACCTCTAGTTGCTGGGACCATCAGAAAAGAACGAGACGAGGTTTTTACTCCCCATGCGGGGGGTGGGAGATTCTCAAAATATTGGTGTTTCCGGAGCTGGACGGACCCTCACCACACCCCCGCAGCACAATTACAGTAATATAGGTGTTATTTATTGAGCGTTTACAAAATGCCAAGTTATGTTCCAGGAGCTTACTCTGCATATGTCTTCCAGTTCATACGACAACAGAGTATAAACACGAATGAGGAAACTAAGGCCTTACAGAGAGATGAGAGATGAAGGTAATGGTCCAAGATCAATGTCTTAGTGAGATTAGAACCTCTGCCCTTTCGTCTTCGGAACCAGCACTTTTAACCATTACTCATTTCTATTGACCAGCTTTTCAGTTTGCAGAAGAGTTAAGAAAATGTATAACGGTTTTTCCCCCTTTTAAGTATTCCTTTCTTCCCCTCTTTGGAACTTTGGCTTCCTCTACCTGTCTACACTGGAGTCTGGTAGAAGATAGTGTCTGATTTAGTACAAAGCAATTTGAAATTTAATGTGCGGGCGTTTGTGTTGATAATATCTCGTGTATCTGTCTCAAGCTTCATGGGAAAAAGAAATGTTTCTTTGCATACTTCACAGCACCCAGTTTCATCACAGATATGCGGGTACTTCAAAAAGTTCGTGGAAAAATAGAATTAAAAGATAATAGGAATCTTTCCTTGAACTTTTTGAAGTACCCTCAAATATGTAATAATGATTTATATATGTACATACTTTATTTATTTATTTATTTTTAAAAGATGACCGGTAAGGGGATCTTAACCCTTGACGTGGTGTTAGCAGCACCATGCTCTCCCAAGTGAGCCATGGGCCGGCCCTATATACATACTTTAAAAGAGCTTTCACTTACATAATTCTTATTTAATCCTCATCATATTGACCTTTGTATAATTTTTATAGAACATCATCATTAACCAAACTGAACAACTTGCTTTGACTTCTTTTGTAAGATAGGGATCATTTTAGGGCTGGCCCATGGCTCACTTGGTAGAGTGTGGTGCTGATAACACGAAGGCCGCAGGTTCGAATCCCTGTATAGGGATGGCCAGTTAGCTCCCTTGGGAGAGCGTGGTGCTGACAACACCAAGTCAAGGGTTAAGATCCCCTTACCGGTCATCTTTTTTTTTTTTTTCCTTTTTGTCTTTTTTCGTGACCGGCAACAGATTGCAACCCTCAGTGTCGCGCCCGTACCAGACCGGGACCGGCAATGGGATCGCAACCCTCG